GGTAATGATGCTGGCGGTGTTGTGGTTGTTGTTGGAACGGTTATACTGCAAAGAAAATTGCATGTGGTGGGCCATTCTCACTCTCAGCAACAACATAAATAAAAATAACCAACAATTTGTATTGAAACATAAACTGTGTTCCGCAATGGATCTTGTCGTGTCAGTGAAAATTCTGCGTCTATTTATTTTTTCTTTGACTCAATTCTGTATCTATTTCTAAATAACTAAAACATTATTAAAATCGGTAAATATTATTTTGTCCATTTAGTACAAGATGTTCAACAATAGGCTCTGTGGTTCTGAAGAACAGAACAAGTAACCTACAACGTTGGTGTGGCACTGCCAAAAAAATGTACTTATCTTTATTTATATTTTGGCCTATGCCTATGGTTGCGTTCAACCCCTTTTCCCAATTTTCCTGATAGAGGGGTCCATCAGCAATTAATGCAAATTTTCTTGATCAGGAATCACAAGAATGGTTTTTGATTGGTGTTGTTAACCAATTTGACAAAGAGGGGACCAGAAATAACAAGCTAGTGGCTACGGATAACCTTGTAACTAAATTTGTAATGGAAACAAACAAGTGCAGCTTTTGTCATTGTGAACTGAACAGAAACAATAATAATACCCAGACACAAGGGCCTGAAACGAAAATATTGCATTTTTGCAGGGCCAATTTCCACTCTTTTCTAGTTAACTAGTTGTAATTTGGGTGAATTTTTTTTGTATAGCAAGAAAACAAAAACAAGTACTAATTATCCTTCTTTGCATTTTAAAATGAAAAGAGAAAAGCCCGAAACTCTCTCTGGGTGTCATCCAAGTTTGTTTTTGTTGGTAACAGAGAAAGGTGAAACTACATGGTTGGTTTGGTTGGTTGGTTCCAAGTGTGCAGTGATATCAGTGTTCGTGCTTTGTACCCAACCAAAAAGTTTAACTCATTAAAAAACCCAACAACATGGTTGTCGGTTAGAGAGAGAGAGAGAGTGACATAGTTACCTTGAAATCGTCAATTTCAGAAGGAGAAACCGGTGGGCTATCTGTTAGGGAGCCATTAAGAGGTCCACTGCTGTGAGAGAGCCTTCCTGAGGTCCTTGGCGACACCTCCTGCTGACCAAACTCAAAACCACCCATTTCTCTTCAGTTTGTTACCATCAAAACACAAAACTAACATAAAAACGTTTTTCATTGTCATACAAATAACTCCATAAATACTCATACAAACACAAATAATAAATTAATATCAAGTCATTCAACCAAGTCTTTGTCCAATGGTCATGCCTTACAACCAGTTATATGATAAAAGCAACTAAGCAAGGGAAATTCTGGTGAGGTAGCGTTTGAAATTAAGATAATTGTAAAGTTAAAGTTAAACATGATTTAAGTGAGAGCATGGAAAAGAAGAAGAGAGAGTGAGTAAGAACATACGGAGTGGGACATGATGCGGTCCATGATCATCTGAGAGGTTTCGGAGGTAGCAAAGGAGAAAGGGTTGCCAGAAACGGTTGCAGACTCTTCCACTTCACCAGCTATGTCTTCAAGTATTACGGGGGCGTTGGAGTAATTAGAACAAACAACAACGTTGTTGTTAACGTTGTTGTTGTTGTTTTTGTTTGAAGAAGGTGGAAGTTGCTGAGATGATGAGAGGGCCTTGGAGACTTCGAGAGCGGAGGCGCTCCACGACCGGGAGAGGAACTCCATGGGGTCGCGCGGCGTCTCCGGCGGGGGTCTAGCGTGAAACGGGTCGGGTCGCCATGCGGGTCGCTCCTTTTCCATTTTTTGGGGTTCGGGTCGGAAGGGGAAGAGGTTTTGTTGGATGTTGAGAGAGGTTTTGTAGTGAGAGTGGGAAGAAGGAGTTCTATTAAAAGAGCCACCAGAGATGCTCGCACCGTTGATCTTCCCCAGAATTTCATCAACGACTCTTGTTGCTCGCTGCTATTCTCTCTGCCAAATACTAGTACTACCATATCCCACCCACACTTTATAATTACAATTTTGGACCTCGGAAAAAGATTCATAAAAATAAATATGCGATAAAATATATATATATATATATA